CCCCCCCCCCCCCCCGCCCCCTTGGAATTGATTTTTCAATACAGACCCCCTCCCCTAAATTCAATTCTCTCCTGGAGAACGTCTTCGTGAGCCTCTCATGATTTCAGAATAGTTGAAACCCTCTTGAACATTCAGAAAGAGTGCATATGACATTCTAATCACGAAAGGTGTTCCCCGAGGGGATACATACCTAGAGTTTGTTTTGTGAAGCACGTCAATTCTCTCCTGGGGATCTTCGTGAGCCTCTTATGGTTTCAGGATAGTTCACATCCTATGATGCTCCGATTCAATGCTCACCGATGATCTGAGCCATGGGGCAAGTTTGTTTTCCAAAGAATCTTTTTGAACATTTCGAGAGCATATGTTTAAACATTTAGAGTGCATATGAACATATATTTACGAAAGGCCGCCTCCGAGGGGATAAATCACCATGTCGAACATTGCATGTTTGTTCCTGCCTCTCGCGTTCTCTTCTCTTCCCGCTGTCCTACCTTTCGTGTCTCCCTCCTCTCAAGTTTCCTTGTGTCTGCCTTCTTGTGTTCCTTCATTGCGTCCGCATTGTCTACCTTCTGTCTCCCTTTGTCTCCGGTCTTGTCTCCCTTCTTGGTGGTCACTGTGTCCGTCTTGTCTCCCTTCTGTTTCCATTTGGCTCCCTTCTTTTCTCCCTTCTTGTTGGTCATTGTGTCCGCCTTGTCTTCCTTCTGTTTCTTTTTGTCTCCGGTTTTCTCCCCCTTCTTGTTGGTCACTGTGTCTGTCTCCCTGTGTCTCCGGTCTTGTCTCCCTTCTTCTGTACCTTCTTGTCTCCCTTGTTGTCCCCCTTCTTGTTGGTCATTGTGTCCACCTTGTCTCCCTTCTGCCTCTTTGTCTCCGGTCTTGTCTCCCTTCTTGTGTCCACCAAGGAGGCAGGAAAGGACCAATTGGACAGCCTGCGAGGCACCAGTAAGGCAGGAAAGGACTAATTGGACAGCCTGGGAGGCACCAGGGGGGCACCAGGGAGGCAGGAAATTACCATTTGTCTCCCTTCTGCCTCTTTGTCTCCGGTCTTGTCTCCCTTCTTGTTGGTCATTGTGTCCGT